CACAGCCTCAACAACTATTGCAGCTAATAATAATATAATCTTAATATAATAATGATTATAATAACAACACATAATTAGCCTAATACTGTTAAAGAAAAACGTGTTTGATAGCCTGTCTGCTGTGTATGACTCCACTGCGTTAAAATATTTCTCAAATGGCAGTGCCCCCCCTGGTTGGTGACCCATGCCCCTCCAGTAGATGTGCTCTGACGCCGACTCTGACAGTTAAGAATGCGAACATACACGCTGAGCGAATTTTGGAATGAATGAGCTATAGTTTGCATTTTTATCGAGGCTCCTTAGTTTGTTTGCTGTATGATTGTTCTAAATCTAAAATCAATGGGCGGATGGCGGGCGGGTGCGTTTTGAAAACCTTCGGTGCAAAAATGGACAGCGGGCGGATGATGAGTTTTGTGTCCGGTTGCGGATGAAAAAATAGCCCATCCGCGCATCTCTATCGGGTACCCGCAAATAGTTGCTGAAATCAGGGCCGCGAGCCCGCGGAGCACGGTGTCCATAAAGCGCGATCGGGCGACAGCCGCTCTTACCTCCGTGAGGTGCGGAGCAGCCGCTCCTTTCTCCTGCGGTCACCTTCGAGCCCATCCCGACAGTGAGTCCTGTTTTAGTCCTAGTTCAGTTTTGGTTTAGTCCTGGTTTTGTTCTGGTTTAGTTCTGGTTTAGTCCTGTTTTAGTCCTAGTTCAGTTCTGGTTTAGTTCTCCTCTTCAGTCCTGGAATCAGTCCGAGGTTAGTCCTGTTATAGTCCTGGTTTAGTCCTGGTTCAGCTCTGGTTTAGTCCTGGTTTAGACCTGGTTTAGACCTGGTTTAGACCCTGGTTTAGTCCTGGGTGGTTAGTCCTGGTTTAGACCTGGTTCAGCTCTGGTTTAGTCCTGGTTTAGACCTGGTTTAGTCCTGGTTCAGTCCATATACGGCGCAAAAGTTCAGCATCTTCGCAGTTATTTTGGTGAAAGTAACTTAAAGTAATGCAATAGTAATGTAATGCCTTATATTTTAAATGCAGTAATATTGTAATGTAACAAATTACTTTGAAATTACAGTAATAAGTAATAAATAACGCATTACGTTTTTAAAGTAACTTGCCCAACAGTGGTAGTAGTAGTAGTAGTAGTAGCAGTAGTAGTAGTAGCAGTAGTAGTAGTAGTAGTAGTAGTAGTAGTAGTAGTAGTAGTAGTAGCAGTAGTAGTAGTAGTAGTAGCAGTAGTAGTAGTAGTAGTAGTAGTAGCAGTAGTAGTAGTAGTAGTAGTAGTAGCAGTAGTAGTAGTAGTAGCAAGTAGTAGTAGCAGTAGTAGTAGTAGTAGCAGTAGTAGTAGTAGTAGTAGTAGTAGTAGTGCAGTAGTAGCAGTAGTAGTAGTAGTAGTAGTAGTAGTAGCAGTAGTAGTAGTAGCAGTAGTAGTAGTAGTAGTAGTAGCAGTAGTAGTAGTAGCAGTAGTAGTAGTAGTAGTAGCAGTAGTAGCAGTAGTAGTAGCAGTAGTAGTAGTAGCAGTAGTAGTAGTAGTAGTAGTAGTAGTAGTAGTAGTAGTAGTAGTAGCAGTAGTAGTAGTAGTAGTAGTAGCAGTAGTAGTAGTAGTAGTAGTAGTAGTAGTAACAGTAGTAGTAGCAACAGTAGTAGTAGTAGTAGTAGTAGTAGTAGTAGTAGTAGTAGTAGTAGCAGTAGTAGTAGTAGTAGTAGTAGCAGTAGTAGTAGCAGCAGCAGTAGTAGTAGTAGTAGCAGCAAGCAGTAGTAGTAGTAGTAGTAGTAGTAGTAGTAGTAGTAGTAGTAGCAGTAGCAGCAGTAGTAGTAGTAGTAGTAGTAGTAGCAGTAGCAGCAACAGTAGTAAGTAGTAGTAGTAGTAGCAGCAGCAACAGTAGTAGTAGTAGTAGTAGTAGTAGTAGTAGTAGTAGTAGTAGTAGTAGCAGTAGTAGTAGTAGTAGTAGTAGTAGTAGTAGTAGTAGTAGTAGTAGCAGTAGTAGTAGTAGTAGTAGTAGTAGTAGTAGTAGTAGTAGTAGTAGTAGTAGTAGTAGTAGTAGTAGTAGTAGTAGTAGTAGTAGTAGTAGTAGTAGTAGCAGTAGTAGTAGTAGTAGTAGTAGTAGTAGTAGTACTGTCTGTGTATATTCCAGGTGCAGGTGCAGTTCTCTCCTCCCTCCTCCGTCCCCGGGGAGGACAGCTCTCTCTCCGTCTCCGCTGCTCCTCTGTCTCTGTGTGGACTCAGCGCCGTGGACAAGAGCGTCCTCATCCAGAAACCAGGGAAAAGTCTGGACCCAGACAAGGTACTAGACCAGGACTGGACCAGGACTAAACCAGAACAAAACAAGGACTAAATCAGGACTGAACCAGGTCTAATCCAGGTCTTTCTCTGCAGTTCCTGTCCCTTTTGCCGGTCCAAAGAGCAGAGTCTTTTCCTGATAGTATTGAGGACCCTCAGGAGTGCACAAAAGTGCGCTCCAGACGATATGTTATTCACCCACGGAGGAACACTGACGATGTTTACCACGAACTCAAGGTAAAGTTACACCAGATGCCCTTCCGTCCTGCATCCTCGAGCACTTTAAAGGTCCTAGATTACACAGACTTGACCCTTGTGAATTTTAAGTCGTGTTCTAATGTTGTTCCCTCCTCAAAAACAGACCTGGAGTTGTGTTTTGTTTCATTCACATTTATTCACATCCCAGGACAGTCTCATTCCCGAATCACCTGTTTTCCTGTTTTGTTTCTTCAGTATTTTTTGAGTCCTAAGTGCCGGGGCTTTGGTTGAGTTGACTTGGAATGACCGAGTTGTATTATGTAAGATGAACAAAAGTTTTACTGCATGACAAAAAGTGGAATGTTAAAATCGACTCTCACAGAATCAATTTGAACATTTTCTCAGGGTTTATATGAGTCCAATCTGTTCTGAGTTAATTTAAAGGGATAGTTTGGATTTTTTGACATAAATCTGTATGTCATCCCCGTCATCAGTGTTGTGCATTCACACCGACTTACCCCCGAAAGCGTCCGGTGAGCCGAGATACTGGCCCGTTTTGGTGCTGAGGAAAGTAGTCCGGCAAGTTGTGTGGGGACTGTTTACTAAAGCGTTTTTCTTCTCAAAGCAATATGTGTTCAAAAGAGTGATACATTTGCATCACAAAACCATCGTCGCCAAAAAAGTCAGATCTCATAATCGCTTGGCGCTATTTTCTCTCCGTACGTACCACTGTGCGCGGCCGCCAGGTGACAGCCGCGCACGGATCCATCACTTTCTTCAGTTGTTCGGCAGTGTTTACATGCGCAGACGCCGCCACGCGAGAGAGCTAGACTAAAAGAGAGCTAACGAGAGAACTAACGAGAGAACTAACGAGAGAGCTAACGAGAGAGCTAACGAGAGAGCTAACGAGAGAGCTAGAGCCATAAGTATATGAGCCTGTATAAGATACATATGAATATATCTAAAAAATGGTGCGAACTCTTGATTCTCCAGGCTGTAACAACTAAAATCTGGCTGAATCTCCACACACATTTCACTGTTTTCCTGTAACGGACTTTGCGCTGAGGAAACTTTGGCTTCTTGCGTTTGGCTTCAATGTGGAAACCAAACCAGGTAAGAACGAAGAAGTGCCGCTACATTTACAAGAGAACAGACTCAAGAATCAGATGTAACTCTGTTGCAGTAAATCACTCAGTGTCATATCACCAGTGAAGCTTCTACAAAACATAACTTTATAAGTCGACTGTTATTACTATTGTAAAATGTCACGTACACTGTTGGCAGCAGCTACGTGGACGTGTGGATGATTCTATGTTTCTATTAGTCGTCCATGCTTCAGTCACAGTGGAAGCTCTATGTTTTCGCTGTATACGAGTTTATAAATGCACGTGATGGTGATTGTCGCTCACTCGGTCTCTCACGGCTCCAGCTTTCACTTGTACCACTTCTCTGTCTTTTTCTCTCTCTTCTCTGCTTGTTCTAAACTCCATCTGGTGAAAATTCGGCATCAGTATATTCGGGTTCACAAAGATCTCCCTTGGGTTTGTGGTAAAGGCAAAGTCTTCATTGTCGGTGTCATAATCAGACATGTTGTCGCTAACATTCCGAGCAGTAAACAAAGTAACCAGGCTCATATACTTATGGCTCTAGCTCTCTCTTCTCGTTAGTTCTCTCGTTAGCTCTCTCGTTAGCTCTCTCGTTAGCTCTCTCGTTAGCTCTCTCGTTAGCTCTCTCGCGTGGCGGCGTCTGCGCATGTAAACACTGCCGAACAACTGAAGAAAGTGATGGATCGGTGCGTGGCTGTCACCTGGTGGTACGTACGGAGAGAAAATAGCGCCAAGCGATTATGAGATCTGACTTTTTTGGCGACGATGGTTTTGTGATGCAAATGTATCACTCTTTTGAACACATATTGCTTTGAGAAGAAAAACGCTTTAGTAAACAATCCCCACACAACTTGCCGGACTACTTTCCTCAGCACCAAAACGGGCCAGTATCTCGGCTCACCGGACGCTTTTGGGGGTAAGTCGGTGTGAATGCACAACACTGATGACGGGGAAAATCCGAACTATCCCTTTAACATTTTTGGAAATGTTAATTAAGTAACACTGGACCAAAGTTCCTGTTTAACCCTGAAATCAAGAGTTATATTAATGTTTTGAGAGTAAACAGATAACACTTTGTAGAGTTATCCTCATTTAACTAAACAGCACACAGAGGTGTTTTATTTTTACACTTTATTTTAGTTAATTTAAGTTTTTGAGCAGTGGTAACTACACAGTGTAAATTAAGGTACACTGTACAAAACACATTCAGTGCACGTAAAGTATTTATTTTCTTTAAAACATTGTAAAAGATGAAATGATGTGAAGCTGTAAACCTGTTCTTCTCTCGAGGCAGATTGAAGTGGTGGTGGAAGGAGCCAAATTAACAATAAGGGAAGTTGAATTAACTTCAACCAAATCATTTCTGGCAAATAATCCCAACTCTAACCTCCATTTAACTTTCAAATATTTAAAATAACACTTTTTGTGTTCAAAACAAAACTTCAACCCTCCAGTTTCTGCTGTGTATGTTTTTTTCAAAGACTAATAAATATTCAAATTCTTGTACCTGATGTAGATTTAAATGACATTATTGTAGAATAGAACATGTTTTTAGTAAGTAAGTAAGTCTTTATTTATATAGCTCTTTTCACAGACATTTTACTCTCACTTGTGTAAATAGTAACACTTGCTCAAATCAAAACAATCAGTTTCCATGATTTTACCAAGTCAGATGAACTTACTCTTGAAGTGAAGGTTACTACATGTTTCAGATTTGAGGAACTGACTGATTCGTTGGCTCAGCTTCACCACATGATTCTATGAATGAAACTAAAGTTCACTTCACTTGCTGAGCCCAGTTAGAGGAAAAAGGAATTTACTGTTCACTGCACTGAGGAATTAATGAAACTCATCTTTAGATTCACTCTCCACTTTAGTCAGAAGTTTCCTAGTTTTTTTCAAGTAAAGTCCATTTATTAGATTTTACAGTGTGTCTACATCTCCAAAGCTCAAAATGCTCTGTTCCACCTCGTGATGTCATGAAGAGGTGGTTTTCAAGTGAACATCTCCTTTCACCTTTAGCTCAGACGTTTGTGATGAGGAAACTACATTAGAACGATCAGA